GCATATACAACCGCGTATGTAGAATCGTGTGTGCAGTGCAGAGCCTCGAAATCGATCTCGCTAAAGCCAGTGGGCCTACTACAACCGCTACTCATCCCTTCCCGAAGCTGGAGCCATGTTAGCCTAGATTTTATCACCGATTTACCTATCTCCCCTCAGGGACACGATTCTATTCTTGTTATCGTCGACTCGCTTAGTAAGATGGCCCATTTTATCCCAACAAATAAGTCAGCATCTACGGCGGACACTATTGATCTTCTGGCGGATCGGCTAATTCGGTATCATGGGTTTCCCGACGTCCTAATCTCAGACAGAGACCCGCGGTTCCAGTCTCAGCTATGGCAGCTTCTATGTCAGAGATTTCAGATCAAGCGGGCTATGTCTTCGTCTTACCATCCGCAAACGGATGGCCAGACCGAGCGACTCAACCGCACTTTAGAACAGATGCTTAGAACATACATTCAGACCGACGAGAAAGACTGGGAGCGTTTGTTGCCGGCTCTGGAACTCGCTTATAACACGACCTCACATTCGTCGACTGAACTCAGCCCTTTCGAGGTTATGATAGGGCAAAACCCAGTGACGGCAGCAGACATGGACATTATAGGAGACCTTGCACCCACGCTCACACCCCCAATGACGAAGGTTTTTCAACAGTTGTGTGACAGAGCACAGAGTCACATTATGCGAGCAAAATGGCAACAGAAGTGTTATGCGGATGCCCATCGACGGGACGTACAATATCAGCCGGGCGACCGAGTTTGGATTAACAGTCGTAATTTTGCAGGACGCAATCAATGCCCTAAGCTGGAACCCAGATTTAGAGGACCCTTCAAAATATTGGAACGCATCGGACAAGTAGCATACCGTATCGAACTGCCTCCAACCTACTCGTGTCACAATGTTTTTCATGTTTCGCAGCTTATACCTGATCGGCCACGGGACCCAGAAATGCAATCCAAGGAGGCAGCAGTGGGGTGGCTGCCTCTCAAGGACAAAGACGGCCTTCCAACGGACATT